AAGACCCCCCTGAGACCCCCAAAAATGAAGGGGGGGGGAGAGACCCCTCTGAGACCCCCCAAAAATCAAGGGGGGACCCCAAAATAAAGGGAGACCCCAAATAAGGGGGGGGGACCCCAAAATAAAGGGGAGAGACCCCCAAGTGGGAGGGGGGACCCCAAATAAGGGGAGGGGACCCCAAAATAAAGGGGAGAGACCCCCAAGTGGGAGGGGGGACCCCAAATAAGGGGAGGGGACCCCAAATAAGGGGGGGAACCCTAAAATTAAGGGGGAGGGACCCCCCAGGTGGGAGGGGGGACCCCAAAAATAAGGGGAGACCCCAAATAAGGGGGGGGGACCCCAAAATAAGGGGAGACCCCAAATAAGGGGGGGGACCCCAAAATAAGAGGGGGAGGACCCCAAAATAAGGGGAGGGGGATCCTTAAATGGGGGGGACCCCAAAATAAAGGGAGGGGACCCCAAGTGGGAGGGGGGACCCCAAAATAAAGGGAGACCCCAAATAAGGGGGGGAGACCCCAAAATAAGGGGGGGAGGACCCCAAAATGGGGAGGGGGATCCTTAAATGGGGGGGGGACCCCAAAATAAGGGGGAGAGACCCCCAAGTGGGAAGGGGGGACCCCTAAATGGGGAGGGGGGACCCCGGAATTGGGGGGGACCCCAAAATTAAGGGGGGGAAGGAACCCTGAAATGGGAGGGTGGGACCCCAAAATAAGGAGGGACCCCCAAATTGGGGGGGACCCCGAAATAACGGGGGAGGGACCCCCAAATAAGGGGGACAGACCCCCTCCCAAATAAGGGGGGACCCCAAAATAAGGGAGGAGTCACAGGGGGGGACCCTCAAAAAAGGGGGGATCCCCCAAGTGGGAGGGGGGACCCCAAATAAGAGGAGGGGATTTTGGGGGTCTCAGGGGGTTTTTTGGGGTGATTTTGGGGTCTCAGGAGGGTTTCTGGGATTTTGGGGGGTCCCAGGAGGGGTTTTGGGGTCTCAGAAGGGGTTTGGGGTCTCAGAAGGGTTTTGGGGTGTTTTGGGGTTTTTGGGGTCTCAGGAGGGTTTTTGGGGTGTTTTTGG